AGTTTTGAAATATAGGAGAAAGAGTACCAAATTTAGGAACGTTAGTGTTAAAAAAAAAATCTTAATTTGACATTATTGTTTTTATAGGGTCCTTGCTTGTTATTCTCTCTTTATTCTTTCTCAAACCCCAAGGTTTCAGAACTGAAGGAGAAGGAAGGAAAGCTAAAACAATAAATATAAAATAGTACTAAATAAGATACAAAGAACTGAAAGATCAGTTCAGCTAATAGAGGACATCATTAAATTAGTTTGTTACACAGATTTTCTATTGCTTTTGTCTGACGAGTAGTGCATGGTCTTTATTTATAACATAGTTGCTTTATAGATGAACCAAGGGTAGCAAATAGTAGGATCATTTAATGAAGCTGGGAACCTTGAGGACTCCATTGGCATCACCATTGAAATTGATGTTGGTGTTGCTGCTAAAACAGTAAGCTTTTGATCAGAACTGCTATGCAGTATTTTGGGAATGGAATGAGATTGAGATTCCACAGCCTGGTTGCCCTTGGCATCACCACCATCTATCTAGTCAGCTAATCCACGAACCGAGCATGCTATTGGGCTTCCACGTCTATGAAACCAATTGCGAAATTAAACAGGACTATAGAGGTGGCTAAGGCATGGTGTCTGTCTCATGGCTTGAATACAAGGCTAAAGTCCACAATACGACTCTTGGATGCGAGATTCTGTAACTGATCAAATTTGAAATGCTTTATACTGAACTGCCGAATACTGATCTTGTATATTTGAGTATCTCTTACAAGATGTGTTTAATCAGTCTGAGAAACTTGATTAAGCACCGGATTAATTTAAGAAGTTATTATAATGGAATGAAACAAGGCTGTGTGACAATACAATTTAGAAGAATCAAAAGCAATAAATCACTATTGATGCCGTCGACATCATTGGGCTCCTAGAGAGGCGTACAATAGAAGGCATTGTAGCTACGTACGACATAAGAATCGTCGTGTTGTTCCGATAACGATGTCGATCACTAATAATGGTCCCAACGAGAACGCGGAGTGTCTTGCCTTATCTCGCTATTATTACTTATTAGATAGTTACCTTGCATTATACAGAATTTAGTAATATTTACAATTACAATTGCAATTTATAGATAATAAGACTTACTATAAAATTTATATTCATAATTAAAGAGTTAGATTTAAAAAATAAAGATTAAATTATACCTAAGAACCCGAATTGAAAAAAAAATTATACCACTTCTTCGTTATAAATAATATGGCGTAAGGAAATCATTTTAATGTAGTATGTATGATGCAAGTAAAGTAAATTAAATGCCATGCGTCACTAAGCAGGCACTGTCAATTTCCAAGAACAAGTCACAATTTAAAGAGGAGGCGATGACTTTTCCATCAACTTTTACGCATATGTATGTGTGCCCACTTGGTGTATTCACAAATGCCAATAGTTTTTTTCTTTTTCTAAACGATATTTTAAAATATTCACAAAAAGACATCTTTAAAAAAAATCTAATTAACGAAGAACCTTGCTTGTTTGGGATTAATCTATGAACAATAATTGCTTGGAGATCTCGTTCCTTTTAAAATTTAAATACTATTGGATGGGTGAATTTGAGTTGGGAATTTGAATTTGAAATCTCATATTTAAAATATCACATTTAAAATTCATAAATTCTACTTTCTTTGTTCGAAAATATAAGACATTTTTAACCTAATCTCACCATTTAATAAAGTAGTTACTTGTCTTTAAACTAACCCTATCTTTTCATATTTATAAGATGCTTTATTCTAAAATAAATATAAAGTAATTTATTTAATAGGGGTACTTTAAAAAAAGGCAATAATTAAATCTTAAAGGATAAACAATGTCTAACAAAAGGAGTAAGTTCTTTGTTTAGATGATATAAAAAATTTTAAATTATAACATTAAAATACTTTATTTGGATCTTAAATAAAATTTTAAATTTTAAATTCTATGTTTGAATTTAAAGGCAACTTGAATGATGTTGGTAGTACAATCGTAGTCAAAGTCGGTCCAATCTAGATTAAGGGTGCCAGCTTGGTCTCGGTTGACTCTGGTTGCCCGAACCCAGGTGACATTATTGGTCCAGTCTCAATCAACAATAGCAGTCTTATCCCAATTAACATAGGCAGTCTAATCCCAAACAATGCTTATAGATTAGCACGAGACAATTACAGCAATTCGAGGGTTGCAGATTGGACCTAGATGACGACACTAGACCATTCCCTATTAATAGTGGCATTTGGCGTCAGATGATGAAGGCAGATGAATTGAAGATAGTGATCATAAACCGGTATCAAACTGTAATGGTGATAGCAAACAAACACCAATTGGAAGAGATGGACAAGTACTGGACGGTGGTAACAAACTGACACCAAATGATGGCATCGGATTAACATCAAATGATGATGGTGACAATAAAAAACTGGCATCAGGTGGCAAAGTAAGGTGGTTGAAAGTGAATTGAAATTTGAAATTCCTAAACTCGATTGACACTAGCAACTTGGTCCTAATCAAAATTGGTTGTCTATTCTCAATCAACACTAGCAGTTAGGTCCCAATTGAAGTCTTCTATCTGGTACTAGTCATCATTGGTAGTTTGGTACTAGTTAAAGCTAGCGATCTGGTCCTTATTTACTTTAGCAGTTTGACCCTGGTCGGTGTTAATCGTCTGGTCTCAATCAAAATTGGCCATTCAATCATGATTGGTGTTGGCGGTCTAATCCCTATTAGCTCAAACGATTTGATCCCGGTCTATGCCAATAGTCTAGTCTTGTGTCGCATTAACAATTCAGTTCTCGTCTACTTTAGCGATTCGCTCTTGGTCGGTGCCGACCATCAGATCTCAGTGGTCATTGGTGGTCCGCTCTCTATTAATTGTAATGATTTGGTCCTAATCTTAGTCAGTACCAGCCGTCCGATTGTAGTCAAAGTCGGCCACCCAATCTCAATTGGTGCCTGCGGTTCGATCTTGATTGATGCGAGCAATCTGGTTCCTTTCAATGTTAGTTGTCAAGTCCCAATCGATGCCAACGATCCAGTCCTATCAGCACAAAAATTTCAATCTAGGTCGTCGCTTGTGGTCCAATCCTTGTTGAATTGGTTGTTTAGTCCCACTTGACACTGGCAATTCAATCTAGGTAGAAGTTAATGGAAGGCAGCGATGTTGAATTCAAGAAGGTAACAAAGGTCAATGAACGAATGCCAAGGAATTGAGAGGCTTTCATGAAAATTTGAAATAATAGAGGTTTAAAAATAATTTAAAATTATAAAGGGATTGGGGTAAGATGTGGATTTAGGTCAAATCTAAATCCACACATTTTTAATTATCTAAGCAATAAATTTGGCTCAAATTCAAATCCACATGCATCCAAACATAGGAGAGAAATTATGTTTCTAATACTAAAGGATCAAATTGACTGAGTCAGATCTGAAACAAGCCATGGCTAGGATCTTTGCATTGAAGTGTTTTTCCTTAAAAATGTTCTTTGAATTTGTTTATTATTTTAGCCAACTTTAATTTATTTTATCAAGGAAACCCGCTTACTTCCTTTTATTTTTGGGTTAAATAATTTGGCTAGTAAATCTCTGCGAAGTACCATCCTAAACGCTCTAATCTGCGATCAACTTCCATGAACAAGTTCTAATTATAGAAGAGGAGGCCATAAATTAACATTCCATGTACGTATATATATAGCAAGTGTAAACCATGCGCCAGTGCCAACCTGGTGTAATGACAAAGCGTCCGTGCCAACTTTGTTTTTATTCCCGTTAATACAGATCTAGATAGATAGAGTTAAAGCTAAAAGAATGAATATATTTTTTAAAATTAATTAATATCTCCCTGTATCTTCCCTCACAAAAAAATTATGTAGTACTCCCTCCTGTTCTATTTATAAAATATTTTCTAGAAGTAATTTTGAGCTTAAAATGTAGAATACCTCATATCAATTAAATATTTTTTTTAATTTTATCCTTTCTTAATTAACAGAAAGGTATTTAATATAATTATATTATTATTTAAAGTAAAAGGTAAAAATAAAAATATATCTCATTTTTTATGAAATAAAAAAATTAACTTTTTTTACAAAGTCTGAAACAGTTGAAAGTATTCTATATGAAAAATTAGAAAGAATATATAGTTAAAATATTTTAGATTAGGGTGCCTTTGAAATTAGGTTAATTAGTTCAATAGTTAAAAAATAGTCCCTTTAGTTTTAGGAAAACTTGCTTGTAAGTCCTTCCTTAATGTCAAAATTGTATTAGAGGATCAAAGATGAGGGTGCAAACATATAGGCTTAGAATTTGATGGCTATTGCTTGCACCCTAAACCTATGTGCTTGCACTCCGGTCATGTGGTTCTCCAATGCAATTTTAGTTCTAAGGAGAGACTTGCTAGACATGCATTTTTCCTTATTTTTAACTACAAATTAAACAAAAACCAAAACAAGACATTAGCTATCTAGATTTTGAGTATGAATAATTCTCACTGCGTTGAGGACCAAGACTCGATCCGTCAGTCAACCGGGAAAAAATATGAATGTGAATGTGATATAAATTCATTGTCTTGCATGAGTTCAATTGAATCAAATGGCTATAAGAGATTTTATTATATACTCATAAAGTATCAAATATTAAAATTTTGGAGGCAACAATATAATGTACATGAGGGGTACTTTTCTGGTGAGGAATGTTCTAATTTTTTTTCAAAATATCTTAATAATTTATAAATAAGGATGAAATCGAATAACTATAATTAAAACCCCACTTATCATTTAGTGATGAGTGAATGCAAGCCACTGATTGTCATCCAATCCAAATTCAATGAATATATACAAGAGACAAAGAAACTACTAGAGTGAGATGATAGATTATAAGAAACCATTGAATTGGTAAAAATAGGCCGCTCTTATTGCATACTTGCAAATTTTGTATTTATTTATACTAAATAATATGAAAAATAAAGGCATGATGACAAGCTCTCTATATAAAGATCCGCTCGATGAATGGACATCAGACACAAGTACCAATCATCGTGAATCATAATGCCCCTAATCTTCGCAACCTCCGGCAATGGGTCCTTCTCCATGGCTTCTCTAACGCTCCTGTTAGCACTCTTCACTGCAAATCTTTGCATCACAGGTAATCATCACCCGATATATATAATATTCAAATTAGACTAGAATTTAAGCAAATTCTCTAATGTGACATATTGATGATTAAGCAGGAGCTCAAATAGGTGTTTGCTATGGCATGCTGGGAAATAATCTGCCGTCTCCTCGTGAAGTGGTGGATCTTTACAGAGCCAACAACATTAAGCGAATGAGACTCTACGACCCAAAACAAGAGGCTCTTGAAGCTCTGAGCGGCTCCGGCATCGAGCTCATGCTCGGCATCCCCAACGCCGACCTCCAGCGCCTCGCCAACAACGCCGGTGAAGCCCGCCGATGGGTTCAACGCAACGTTCTCAACTTTTACCCCGCCGTCAACATCAAATACATCGCCGCCGGCAACGAAGTGAACCCCGCCGCCGGAGACAACAGGAAGTATGCCCCGTACGTCCTCGGGGCGATTCAGAATGTGTACCAAGCCATACGTGAGAGAGGCTTTCACGAGAAGATCAAGGTCTCTACGGCCATTGACATGACCCTGATAACGGAGGACTCATTTCCTCCGTCGAGGGGGAGGTTCCGAGACGACGTCAGAAAGTACCTGGACCCTATCATAGGCTACTTGGTCTATGCAAAAGCGCCCTTGTTAGCCAATATATACCCTTACTTCGCTTATACTGGGAGCCGTGGTAAGGTACCTCTGAGTTACGCTCTGTTCACTGAACCAAACGTGTTCGTTCAGGATGGCTCGAGAGGCTACCAGAATCTGTTTGATGCCATGTTGGATACGTTGTATGCAGCTTTGGATAGTACGAGGATTGGAGCGGTGAAAGTGGTGGTGTCGGAGAGTGGGTGGCCTTCCGCTGGAGCGGAACCAGCTACTCCGAAGAATGCCAAGACTTACTTGGAGCAATTGATCCCTCATGTGAACACAGGTACTCCTATGAAGCCTGGACCCGTCGAGACGTACATTTTTGCCATGTTCGATGAGAACAACAAGACGGGAGAAAAGACCGAGAAACATTTTGGGCTCTTCTTTCCCAGCAAACAGAACAAGTATGGCTTGAGTTTTGGGGCATAACAAAAGTTGCAAATTAATTGCAGGTGCTCAGGCTGGGTTTTACAACATCACGCTTCCTCCTAAGTAGTGTGTGATTACATATCGTCTTGTACGAATAAATAAATAAATAAAAACCTCTGCACTGCAGTTTGTCTTCGACTTGAATTAGGTTAGTATAAGAATCTATGCATCTTCGCATCTTCCATCTTAACACAGAAAAAGGACGTGCCCCAATGGTCATGTATCTTCAAGATTCTCTATTAATCTTTAAAAGTCTTCAATGTATTTTCAAAAAAAAAAATATTGAAGATAAGTTGAAGAGTTTTTAAGAAAGGTGGAAGATAAATGAAATTACTTGAAGAAATTTTTCTTTGCAGATTTGTTGAAGACTTTTGGAGAAGTGAGGATGATAATTGAAGTTATGTGAAGATATGTTAAAGACTTTGGAAGAATTGTGAAAGATTATTGAAGAAACTTTTTGAAGAAACACTGGAGACATACTTCAAAAAAAAAAAACTATTTAATTGAAAAAAATAAGCGTGATATATCAAAATATAATTGGATGATTGGTGTAAGCCCTACTCAATTTTAAAAATAAAGATGATGTGTCACAATTTGATAGGTTCCGGACTTGCTTACCATTTTAATGTCATATCAATGTTAAGTCAACGGTCCCATAACTGCATCACAATGTCGATAGCGGATGACGGTCCCAATGAACGCGCCGGGTGGCTTCCCTAATGCTTCCCCCGTCAGTACCAATAACAATTTATTATTTAATGTATAAAATTTGTAATTTTTTCAGTTTTTTTCATAATAACGTTACAATGATAAGTGAAGTAAATAATTAATATCTTTTTTATTTTTCAAGATAAAAATAAAATTATTTAATTAGTCAAAAAATCATGACTCGTCTCATATTTAGAAATAACATAAGCTTCTAAAAAGTATCCTATATATGAAAATAAAGAAATTATAGCTATTATTAGATAGGCGCCTTGCATTATACAAAATTTAATAGTGTTTACCGTATATAAATAATTTTTATATTCATAATTAATGGGTTAGATAAAATAATAAAGATTGTCGGTGTAAATACACAATCGTAGTCATATTAAAAATGATAATAAAGATTAAACTATACATAATTAAAGTACTTTTGAACTTTAGGTTATACTCTCTCCGTCTCATATTACAAGATATTTTTAACAAAATCTTCTATATCAATAAACCTCATTAAATATACTTAACAATCTTATCTTTCTAAAATAAAAATATAAAATTTTAAAAATACCCATCATTTAATATATTGAAAAGAGAATGGATGAAAATTAATTATAGAGAGAGAAAGGATAATATTAAAATAAGCTTATTTAATAAAATATTAATTTTTTCAAAGTGTTTTATAATTTAAGACGGAATGAATGTTATATATATACAGATGACCTTATCTTACCTTTAAAATTTCACCATAAATCTCATAAACTTTTACATATATTTAATTAAAATAACTTCTCATTAATTAATTTGTCCATATTTAACTACAAAAGATAATGTAAAAATTTTTATTTGTACACGACTTAAAAATTTAAAAGAGTTATCAATACATAATTCAAAGTTTCAAAGGTTATTATCTGCGCAAAGAAATGTTTTTAAAGAGGCATTTAGTTATCTACACAAAAATTAAAGGTTAAAAGATGGTTTCCCCTCTCCTTTTTTCCTTGTTCTTTTTTTGCTGCTAAAAAAAGTACACAGGACATTATCAATTATTTTGAGTAATTCACCTCGCGTCTTCATCGCCGACCAAGACTGGATCGGTTTAATAATTAAAAAGGAAAAGGACATACAAGAGACTGTGAAACTAGAGTGAGATAGATAATAAGAATCCATTATATTGAATTGTGTGAGCATAGCCATATATATAGATTGTTCTTGCACTTGCGAACTTTGTATTTATTCATAATAAATATGAAAATGACCGATAAATATGATGTGCTATATCCTTGAAGATCAGGCACAGCTCGGTCCCTAAGAATATATATATATATATATATAAACTCATAAATATTATATCTTTAGCAATAGCGCATGTATGGCTTCCATCTTCGCAACCTGCAGCAATTAACGGTGCCCTGATGGGCTCTCCAATGCTCCTATGCAAATCTTCACAGGTCATCATCTGATCTTCCTTCTTTCCACTTTGTAAGATTCTCTCTCCAGCCATAAAAATATATGCAGCTGCTCATACACACGGTAGTATATACGTAAATATAGTAGGTAGGCTCAGTAGAAATTAAAGCTAAATAGAGTTGGAGAAAATCCTAGTTTGTGCTTCTTGCCTTTTGCAGAAGAGGAAAGACTGCTTAATTTGCTATATTTCTAATTATGTGTTCATTATACGTAGCAAGGTCAAGAAAAAAGATGAAACTATAAACACTATCAATGTTATACATATAACTGGTAGGAACTCAATTCATATGATCGACACCTATTGATTAAGAAAACAATGTTTGTGGCAAGCAGGTGCTGATATAGGCGTTTGCTATGGCATGCTGCATAATGATCTGCCATCTCCTCGTGAAGTGGAGGATCTTTACAGAGCCAACAGCATTAAGCGAATGAGACTGTACGAACCAAAACAAGAGGCTCTTGAAGCTCTCAAAAACTCCGGCATCGAGCTCATGCTCGGTGCCCCCAACACCGACCTTCAGCGACTTGCTGCCGACGCTGACGCTGCAGCTCAATGGGTTGAAAACACAGTTTCCAAATTCTACCCCTCCGTCAACATCAAATACATCGCCGCCGGCAACGAAGTGAACCCCGTTGACGGAACCCGCAGGCAGTATGCCCCGCATGTCCTTCCGGCGATCTAGAGCGTGTAGCAAGCCATAAGGGCAAGGGGCCTTCATGAGCAGATAAAGGTCTCGACCGCCATTGACATGACCTCATCAACATGTCATACCCTCCGTCCAAGGGCAGCTTTCGAAACGACGTCAGATCATATTGGACCCTATCATTGGCTGCTTGGTGTTCGCGAAAGCGCCATTGTTCGCCAATATATACCCCCATACTTCACCTATACAAGGAGCCGGCCTGGTGAGATACGTCTGAGTTACGCTTTGTTCACTGAACCAGACGTGGTCGTTCAGGATGATTCCAGAGGGTACCAGAATCTGTTTGATGCCATGTTGGATTCCTTGCATGCAGCTTTGGATGGTACGAGGATTGGGCCTGTAAAGGTAGTCGCGTCAGAGAGTGGGTGGCCTTCTGCTGGCGAGGAACATGCTACTGAGGATAATGCCAAGATTTACTTGGAGAAATTGATTCCTCACGTTAACCAAGGTACTCCCATGAAGCCTGAACCTATAGAGACGTATATTTTTGCCATATTTGATGAGAATAAGGAGGGAAAAGAGACGGAGAGACATTTTGGGCTCTTCTATCCCAACAAACAGAACAAGTACCCCTTTGGGTTTGGGACATAAAAGTGCTAATATAGTATTTACTTTAAATTCATATTGCCTCTAAAGAGACCTAATATAAGGTTGAATGCACTGATATGATGATTATGATCGAGTGTTGTGTCTGTGTGCGTATGATTTGGTATATAGGAAAATAACGAAGCAGATCAGATGTCAGTTTGTGTTTCGTTAATTATGCATATTCCGTCCTTTACACAGCAGATAACCCTTTAGCAAGAAATGATGAGAGAGCGCATTATTGCTGAGAGACAGAATGAAAAGGAAATGAACGATGATTACCACTCCTCTGAGGGCGTGTAAGAGAGAGATGTGGTATATGAACAATGAAGCAGATGTGCCATCAGTTTGTATTTGGTTTATTTATGCATCTTCCGTCTTCTACGCAGCGGCAGTAACGTGGCACCACCATGCATGTCAGCTTGAGAGAATATTCCTATTCAAAGATTTGATTCTTCTGCCCTCTTTGAAGGAACCGGTTAATGTCATTAATAAATTGTAATTAACATCCTAGGTGTTAGATTACCAACAAAAAGCACTATTATTAATGAATAGCCCCTTCCACACCAGCCCAATTCTCTACCTAAACGTATTGGTCTAGGTTGGTCCGAGGGATGCCAGAATCTGATTCATGTCATGCCATATTGAAATACTCTCTCCGGTTTTTAATTATAATGAACATCTGGACAACTTTTTGCAACTCTTTATGCCCTATATTTATCGTCAAGTAGAGTTTAAAAATTTACTTGATAGGTTTGAGCAGAATGGATCGTTGGACTATTGTTGGACCTGAATTGGAATTACATTTGCATCTTCCCAAGTTTTATCACCCATGCAAACAAACTCATTTTATGTTTAATATATGGATGAAAAATCATCGGTTCCAAACTTCCAATTATTACTAACAAAGTTCAAGGTCCAAAACTCATTTTCTGATAAATAGGGCATAAGGAAGAAGACAAGGTGGGCTGGTGGGTTTTGCCACTACGTGTGGCTGCTGACATGATGTAAGATATTTCATTTTGACAAATCACCGTATTCTTAACACTATCATCCCATGTCGTTCATTCGTTAATGCTGGACTCTTTTGGCGAATTCCAACATGGATTCAACCATATTCATTGAATTCAATTAATGGGGAAATGACGAGGATCCCATTCCCTTGTAACAGGTCGGGTGAACTGTGTTATCACAGCGATGAGCACTGTGATACTCATTATTACGGTGACATTTGAACCATCTAAATCAATTTCAATGGTTTATATTTTAATTTTTTTTAATTTATAATTTTTAAATCAAAAATTCAAAATTACCTTTATTTTCGATTCTACCTTTATTAAGAATATGAAAATAAAATTATATCAAATCTGAACCATTCAATTGTGATATGAATAATATTAATGGTCTAGATTTGGTGTTCATCCATCACCCAAACTGAATACCAGTAGGGCCAGTAAGGGTTTTAATGGTTGGTTATAGTGGCAATTTATATAATGGAAAAATCGAAGTGCGTCAATTTTTTCTCCAAATCCTTATCACTAGAGTCGTGGCATGACTTCTTTGATCACGATGGCCAGTGCTTCATAGTCTATATAATTGCAATCCAATTGAACTGCCCGCGAAGCCCTATGATGTTAGAGAAGGAACTATTTCTTTTTTTTTTAATTTCATGCTATTTTATATATTTTCTGGCGTTTATGTCCAGGACCCTCCAAATACATGCACAGAAATTGGCCAAAAAGAAAATACTTGGACCTAATGGCTAATATGGAAATAAAATTGCTATTGTATTTTGGTGCATATATCTAAAGAGAGTTGGAGGGAAGGGATCATCTTCATTTCCTTTTCTCTTCGGCTCCAATATTTTAACTTGGTGTTTGGTCTGGATTAATGCGGCCGGTGCAGATTGCAAGCACCCCTAGTTAATTAAGTGAATCTCTTTCATGGAAATTTTAATTGTTGCTATGTATTTAGACCTTGAACTCAAAATTTCTAGTTAAGTGAAGTGAATTAACTTTTTAACAAGCTACTTCTTTTGTTTTTATATATAAGAGATTTTTTAAAATTTTTTTTAATCTTTAAACATAAAAGGTTGTTACTATATTTTTTTAATGAATATACCATTATATCCTTATTAAATTGGAAAGAGAAATAATAAGTATCATCATTAATTTATTTTAAAAAAAGATTCATTTTTTATTTACAATAATTAGTGACAAAATTAAAATATTATTGTGCTTTTAATTAGATAACTAACTTTTATTAGTTTGTGTGATTTGGTTAAAAATATCTTATATACAAAGGGATGGAGGGAGTAATTCAAGAGCCAGGTGATTCCTCTCCACTTCCTCTTCCATTAAAATAAAATAACTAAAAGTGAGCATATTAAAGACAAGAAGAAATAAGAACTACAATTAATGATTTGCTTAAAATTTGATGTGAAGTGAGAAGTGCATATGATGATTTACTTACAGAAAATTGATGTGAACTGCAAGAATGATTAAAAATTAGTATTTTTAATTATAAGCAGGATCTGTTAAAATCTCAATATGCATAGAGTGAAATGACAATGAGGCCAGCCATATGTACTTTGTCTATAAATATAGAGAGATGGAGCGTACATGAGATGGAGGGGGGAAAAAACTTGTCCACAAGTGATTCAGAATTTTGATATCTTTAGACTTAATGACTGCTTTCTTCTTCGCAGCGAGAAAGGGTGCCTTAATGGCCTCTCTAATCCTTTTGGCTCTGTTCACATCTAATCTTCTCATCACAGGTAATCCTCGATCCATCTCTCTCTTTTATAATTACTCAATAAATCATTCATATTGAGCCATCACAATTTTTTACTTGGTAGCGAAAGAATACACTCTTTCATAATAATATTCGAGAATCTTTATATAAGCACAATATATATTTCTGTCTTTACATTTTGTTACTTTTGACACAAATACTCCAAAGCCTAAGCATTCAAAAGGAAAACTTTTACCTTTATCAGTTCAGTTTGACACACACAAATATATATATGTGCACTTCAAGTTATATCTACGTACTTAAGAATCTTTTTATGTGACAGTTATTTATAGGCTTAGTTAATGTATGTTATAGTATCTTGTTTGGCAGCAACAGCTACCTTTTGTGGATCAGAAGGGATAAAAAAAACCTCTCATCAACGTTTTTTTTTTCCTTTTTTTTTTACCACCAAAGGTTCCAAGTTACAATTGCAAGACACAGGCGAAATCAACTTTGTTTAAATCATTCCACATATATATTGATCAAAACTTTCACAAACGTAAACTTATAACTCTGTGGAAAGCAGATGCTCAGATCGGTGTGTGCTATGGCATGTTGGGCAACAATCTGCCATCGAAACGCGAAGTGGTGAATCTTTACAGAGCCAACAACATCAGACGTATGAGACTCTACGATCCCAACCAAGAAGCTCTTGAAGCTCTTCGAAACTCCGGCATCGAGCTCATGCTCGGCGTCCCAAACTCCGACCTTCAGAGCCTAGCCGCCAGCAGCGCCAACGCCGAGCAGTGGGCTCAACGCTACGTTTTCAACTACTATCCCTCCGTCAACATCAAATACATCGCCGTCGGCAACGAAGTGAACCCTGTCGGAGCCAACCGGGAGCATGCCCCGTATGTCCTTCGGGCCATCCAGAACTTGTACCAATCCATTAGGAAGAGAGGCCTTCAAGACCAAATCAAGGTCTCCACCGCCATTGACAGTACCCTCGTAGGGACGTCATACCCTCCGTCCAAGGGTAGCTTCCGAAACGCCGTCAGATCATACTTGGACCCTATCATCGGCTACTTGGTGTATGCAAACGCACCGTTGTTAGCTAATATATACCCTTACTTCAGCTATGCCGATAACCCACGTGACATATCTCTGCAATATGCTCTGTTCACTTCTCCGAACGGGTGGTGTGGGATGGTTCGAGAGGGTATCAGAACCTGTTCGATGCCATGTTGGATTCGGTCCATGCGGCTCTGGATAGTACGAGGATTGGGCATGTGAAGGTTGTAGTGTCGGAAAGTGGGTGGCCTTCTGGTGGGGCATTTGCGGCAACCTACGATAATGCGAGGATGTACCTGGACAATCTGATTCGCCACGTGAACAGAGGTACTCCGATGAGGCCTGGACCAATAGAGACGTATCTATTTGCGATGTTTGACGAGAACCAGAAGTACCCAGAACGGGAGAAACATTTTGGGCTGTTTTATCCCAGCAAGCAGAAGAAGTACCCCTTCGGCTTCGGGTCATAAAACAGCTTGAAACCCGGTGCAAATGTCTGATGAATTTAACGTAACGTTTCCTAAGAGCTTTATATACATATATATATATATATGTATGTATAAAATAAGGTTTTGACTTTTGAGTATTGAACAACTGACAGAAGGGGGTATGATAAATACCCCTGTATGTGTGATTTCGTGTACGAATAAATAAGAAGTGCCTGCAGTTTGTCTTTTGTCATTATATAATTTATGCACCATCCCCTTTTTTAATAACAAGGCCCAGGATAATTGCACAAGGTATAAAATAACTATGTCAAATTGTAACGCAGGAGATTCCTGCGCCCTCTATATGAATACGTCATTAAACATCCTTATATCATATAATTGTGGTCAGTGTGATCGATAAGTAATTAATCTATGCAGCAGCCAGCTTCTCTGACAACATGATCTAGAGAAATGATGCAAACGCGTAAAATGAGATCTCTAATAATTTAATTTTTTATCCTATTGATAAGAGCATATTTTAAAATGCTCATTGTGAACAAGGTTGGTCTCAATAGAGTCACAAAAGATATTGACTTTCGAATAATTTTTGTCCCAAAAGAAGTTGAATTTTTTAAAAATTCGCAGAATTATGCAGCTACGCTTGATTGAAATTTAAGAAATGCGGTGAAGCTTTTAATCCATTGACCTTGATGGTCACAAATAACAAATGAGACGTGGCAGCTTTTTTAAGATTGACATCATCAAAAATGCATGCATTCATACATACAGGCAATTTTAATATTTCAAAATATAATTATTATTTTATTTTTTTAAAAAAATATTTTTATTGAATAAATTATTTTATATTTATTTAAAATGAGATACCTTATTAAATAAGGATAAATATGAAAAAAATTTGAATATAAATAAATATAAAAAATAAAATTAATTTAAAATAAGTAATTATTTTATTGAGAGTGAGATGTAATTAAAATTATCTTATATTCTTTAATGGAGGGGTGTATAAATCTTGTAGCTGCATATATAATTTTTTCTAGGGCACTAATCTTGCAAACTCATAAACCAACCAACACATGTCTTTGCTCTGTTCGGCGAAAACCAGAAGGTCCATGAATTGGAAAGGCATTATTTTGGCCTTTGGGTTCTTCAAGCAGAAGTAGCTCTTTAATTTTGGGGCAAAAAGGGATTGAAAAATCGGTGTCTCCTAATGAATTTCTAAGTGTTTTGTTTAAGGATTTGAACATTGGCACTTGTGTCGTTTGGTAAATGAACAGTGATGATAAGTCTCTGTTCTTGTTTCATTACTGACACCGTAAATATCCATTTATGTGAGTTTCTTCTATCCTTTTTAATGTCCAAAATAAATCTAAAAAATTCCAACAAAAAAAGAAGGTCAAACTTGTATTTTGGGCGAAAAACTAAAGTATAAAAATGATATTTACTTACAATTTAAAGTTTCAAAATTAATTAATAGAAGGGTACAAAATTAATTGGAAACTTCCTTTACCACGTGATCCTGTGATTTGGTGTGATAATCTTGGAGCTAGTGCAATGGCTTGGAATCCGGTTTATCATAACCATACTAAGTATATTGAAATTGATGTGCATTTTGTTCATGACAAAGTGTTGAGTCATGAACCTACTGTCGGTTATGTTCCCACAAAAGAGCATATTGCTGACTTGCCCACAAAACCATTGGGACACATGTTTCAACTATCTTCGTCGCAAACTCAGAGTGAATTCAATACCCTCTCTCACCATTATTTGATATGGTTTGCTCTATTTATTACTCGTTTCGTTTTTATTTATAAGTGAGATTGTCACTTTTAATTTATTTTTTATATAAACAAAATTATATTTTTATAATAAATTTTTTAAATTATTTTTCATAATTTCATCATTCACAATTAAAGAAAATACTTAATAAATACTTGATTAACATAATTAATAAAAATATTATAGTCTAATTTTTTTATTTTCAAGTATAGTTATTATAATTAATTAATTTTTTTAAAACTTTGTAATATAATTTGGAGTGATTATGATTGAATTCTATCCCACGTTTGTAGGACGTTTGCAGGGATACATGCGCATCTCTAATTATGTCTATCTTGTATATATTTAACTATAAAGCAATGAGTGAAAGAAGCCACTTCCACTGTCATTCTCGATCCTCTCTCTTTTCTTATTTCCGATTGCAACCAACTGATTATAGCACAGCCAGTAACTGACTGAACCAAGTATACATTGATTCATTTTGTCTTCTCCGGTAGGATTTTAAAAACCATTGCTTGACATAATAAGCCATGGCTAAGACGGAAAAATATCTGCATGAGAACAGAAAGCAGAACTTGGAACTGAACCTACAACAGAAAAGAAATAAACACACCAAACAAAACGATGAAACATTTAAGCATGTCATTAAGGATCTCCAAGCAGATTCTATTCATGGAGATCCTATGACGATTCATGAAAGCAGGAGAAAACCTCGATAAAACCATGCTGTTCGATGTCCTCTGTTTTAGTGTTCAAAAACAGAGCATATTTCCGCTTGCGGTAAAGAACATTCTGAGAAGCAACAACAATACCCAAATCAGCGTCATTCTTGCATGCACGCCTAGTAACAGGACCATAATTTGCTTGAAAAAATCCCATTCCGAAGTGAAACTTAAGAAAAACGTCAATGACCAGAACGGATAAGGTCGAACGAGAAGAGAGACCTAGGACGCCAACTTCCCCCAACTATAGTTTCCTTGTCACTTGAGCGAGACATGATATTGTGATATTTTATTATTTTTAAACAAATAAAACAATCCAACTTGTTAGAGCTGCACAAACACGAACGAGACAAAACTTCCACAGCTGAAGTTAGTTTAATTTTTCTTTTTTTTTTTTATGGACAGGTTTGGTTCAGGCTTAACCCAAAATAAAACTGGATTTGGTCCATGGAAGTGAAAGATTGGTCTTGATAGTTATTACATTACAATTATCTTTTTCCTTTTTTGTCCACGCAATAATTTACTTTAGCTGACAAAGATAATAAAAAATACTTATAATTATATAAATTTATCATAAAACATTAAAAATTAATCATAATAAATCTATAATAATATTTAACAAAACGAAAAAAAATTAGTTATAATATGTTTTATAATTAAGCAATGTGCATTAAGAAGCTCACACAGTTCAATTAAGGTTTGCACAAGTGTGTGGGCTCCTTCGTACATCCTGAAGCGTGCAAAATATTTTTAAATATGGCAGAGAAATTTAATGTGAAATCACATTATTCACAGTTTAAGCTTATAAAAAGTGTATCTTCTCTACACACAAGTATTAGAATTTCTTTTTTCACCATCATAGTGCTAATATGGAATAAAATGCTATTTAACGTAATTAGTTTTACTCTCTATACTACTTAAATAAAATTTTGGCGTTCCCTTAAGCTCTTTCTTCTGTTATATTTTTATGAGAAGACGCTGGGACATTACGACAAGAAGTGAGAAGCTCTTTCTTCCGTTACACACTATCATTATAATTGTAATTATATTAACATAATTTATAAAATTGGACTAAATTAAGTAGTTTAAAGCCCAATTCTCTGTCTAGTCCAGTCTAAAAATTCGTTTTTGTGCCTTTTAGTCGTTGGGGCCAATATTTTTTTTGGAGGACCCGTTAGAACAAAACTAGAGCACATTTGCACAACCATGCAACTTTTCATACCCTATGCAAAAAAAATCTAGAGCACTTTACATAAAGATAGAGAGAGTGGTTATTGATTGAGAAGATTTAGTGTCACATATTCCCCCAAATGTCACCTAATTTATACTCTCTCTAACTAAAGAGAATATTTTTTGTATTTAAACAAAAATCAAGAAAACGTAATTTAATTTTCCTTTTTCACATCCTGTGAAATTGTCTTGTTGGCCATCCTTTTACTTTAATATAATATTAATTATATTATAAAAGTCTTGATTAATTTTTTTTTCTTCAATCATAATCTGAAAATTATTTATTAAAATACGTTTTTATAAATTTATCATGTGATTGTAATGTTGAAATTTATTGTTTCTAATAATTAGAGTAACTCAGTTAGCAATTGGCAAATTTTTTTTTTTCACTAGAAGGAATGTTTGCCCACTTGTAGAGTTAAAAATTCGGGCGGGGCAGACTTATTCAACCTTGACTCAAATAAGCCTGACTTTCTAAAAAAACTCAAATAGCCAAATCTAGCCTAAATTTTGAGGGAGAGACATGATATATTTTTGTTATAATTATATTTTCAATTATATTAGACTTATATATTAATCTTAAATGTTGTTATTATGTTGTAGTTGATAGTCTTTTCAATTATTATACATTGTAATTGATAAATCAAGTATTATGATGTATAATAGTTTTAAAATATATTGAGACGTTAATATTAAAATATGGGCCTTCCTTTTAAATAGGCTTTCAGGACAGATCAAATTTTAAATAGGATGAGACTTTAGCCAAAGCCTAGTTCGGCTTAACCTATTTTTACTCATACTTACAACGATGTGTAGGACTCAAATATATAATATTTTAATATAAAACATAAATAATTAATGTATTATTTATCATATTTTTCATATATTTTTAAAAAAAATAATTTTATTTAGGTATCGGGTCAAATTTAAACTTGATAAATGCTTGGCCCAATTTTTTTTAGACTAACCCGAATATGCTCAAACATAAAAAACATATTTTTTTTGCCTTAAATTTTTTAAGGTGGGTTTACAACTTTCTAGAATTTATTTTTTTAAAAAAAAGGTAAATTTACACAAAATTATTTTAGTTTACATAATTTTAATAATCAACTAGACGTTCTTAATTTAATTGGCAAGTGGCTAAGTTCCCTATATCTAGAACCAGGATGGAGTATATAACCGCAATTGTCTTTTTAAAAGGAAGCCCCGCGGGTCTTGCCGCCTTTGGAATCATGTTCATGCCCAACCTACCTGTTATAGAAATATTTAATCATAAAGTCTAAATTTGTTGAAAAACATTTAATCATAAAGTGTATATATGTAAAAAAATTTTACAACAAATCAAACTATAATTCATCATCAGTGACACCAGTAGTATTTATTTGTAAATCATAAATGACATCGCTTCTTCTCAAATTTTGTATAATTCCGTTTTATTTTTCATTTTTTGTTTTCACATGTTTCATTAAACTCCACTTTATTTTTTTTTCTTCATTATTTAATACATATTTA